GCCCCACATTAAGCCATCAGTGGCACTTTTGGAAATGGCCTGCGGTTTATCTTTTAGCAGGAGAAATTCTTAGGGGTTTCGGCTGAATGTCGGCCACTCCTGCTAGTTGATTGCATTAAAATTCAATTATTCAACAACAATATCCATGATAGATGAATGCGGCTGGAGCATGCGTGAGCATATTCAGGCCGCTCAGTTCCCGTGAAAATTCGCGCACTTATTCTTTCTTGTTGCTTAGTGGGTAGCTTACATTTGTGGGCCGTTGCTGAGTTCGAACTATGAGCGCGACAATGTTTACAATTGGCGTGAGTGAGTGAGTGTTGAAGGTGTTTCAATCAGTGAGCCTGCCCGGAGGGACTTTAGTGTGGAAATTATGTAAAGAGTTGAGCCGGACACTATGGGCTCCACTAAGGGTTTCTTGGTTTTGCTTTTGGTGTTTCAAAGTGAGTATTTACAGTGGAAATTTTGAGGCAGCTTATATTAGTTGAATGAAATCCGTGCTCATTGATTTGTTTGTTGAATGGAAAAGCCCAAATCTGGGCCTCCACAGCCGATTCATCAACGTCGGTCATCAGGATGGCAGAGATAGATGCGAATTCTGTCGGAAATTCAGCTCTAGTTTCATCAGATTACCGTCGACCTGCTTCGGATGGTTATATTTGCTATTGCAGGCTCTGATCGCTGAGTATCCACTGTTTTTCGGGTTCAGAGCATTTCGGCCTCGAAAACGTTTTGGGGTGCGGCATTAGGAAACTTCTTGATTAAGAACTAGCCACCTTCATTCATTTTTTTTTATTATTAAGATCCTTAATTCGCGTTAATCTTATTTTTACAATAATTGAAATGGGTGTGTACACACTGGATGAAGTCAAAGAATCGGTCTTTTTTGTATTGAAGTGTGTAATTTTTTTGGTCTTTTTCAAGCCTTCAAAGGGACATTTGGCCCAAGCCTTCAAAGGCCAAATGTACCTTTGAAGGCTTGAAAAAGACCAACAAAATTACACACTTCAATACAAAAAAGACCGATTCTTTTATTTTTATAAGACCGTTTCATCAAGGGTGAAGAAAATAATTTCTTCCCGACGTTTCAGAAGCACGAGTGACCTGCATCTTCAGAGATCGGTACTCAGCGCTGCAATCCGTACTAGCTATTTTCCTTTGTGAACCATGCGTCCTTAAACGCGTTTTAGCCTCATTTTACCACTGTTTCACTTACCTGATTTTTCCTTAAATTATCCAACTTTCATAAATCTATACTGGTCCTTCTTATCTTGGATACAGTGTCCTTAATTGTGGCAAAACATTGCGCAAATACACATGTATAACCGGCGATTTAGCGCTTATAGGCCTGC